CTCAGAGGTGTGTGAACATGGATCAACCTTCTCTTCACTGTGAGGCCATCTCACCCACCCCCGAGATATTGCCTTTAAACTCAGAAGTTCACAGACGTTCTTTCCAAAGTCCCTTTCTTCCCTGGGAGGAATGCTGGTGCCAGCTGCCAAAGGCTGCTTTTCATTCGTTAGCTGTCAGAGGCTCTCTCTTTTTGTTTTTTTCCAACATCTTTATTGGAGTATAATTGCTGTACAATTGTGTGTTAGTTTCTGCTTTATAACAAAGTGAATCAGTTATACATAAACATATATCCCCATATCTCCTCCCTTTTGTGTCTCCCTCCCTCCCACCCTCCCTATCCCACCCCTCTAGGTGGTCACAAAGCACCGAGCTGATCTCCCTGTTCTATGCGGCTGCTTCCCACTAGCTATCTATTTTACATTTGGTAGTGTATATATGTCCATACTGCTCTCTCACTTTGTCACAGCTTACCCTTCCCCCTCTCCATATCCTCAAGTCCATTCTCTAGTAGGTCTGTGTCTTTATTCCTGTCTTGCCCCTAGGTTCTTCATGACCTATTTTTTTCTTAGATTCCATATATATGTGTTACCATACGGTATTTGTTTTTCTCTTTCTGACTTACTTCACTCTGTGACAGACCCTACGTCCATCCACCTCATTACAAATAACTCAATTTCGTTTCCTTTTATGGCTGAATAATATTCCATTGTATATACGTGCCACATCCTTTTTATCCATTCAGCTGTTGATGGACACTTAGGTTGCGTCCATGTCCTGGCGTCCATGTCCTGGCTATTGTAAATAGAGCTGCAATGAACATTTTGGTACATGACTCTTTTTGAATTATGGTTTTCTCAGGGTATATGCTCAGGAGTGGGAGGCTCTCTTTATGTTAATGCCTTCCCTGCATACTTCTCAGGACCATTCGGATTTGCATCTGCAGTGGTTAGAAAGGTTTCTGAAACAGACTTAACTGAAGTGGAAGTAATAAAGACCCTGGGCCTGGAGAGATATGGTTTTAAGTCAGAAGGCCTGGGTAGTCCCGTCTCTGCTAGTGATAAGCTGAGTCATGGTGAGAAGCCCAGACCTCTTTGGGGCTCACAGTATTATAAATATGTGATATGATATCATATCATATCATATATCATATGATCTAATCTAATCCTAATCTAATCTAATCTAATCTAATCTAATCTAATCTAATCTAATATACAGTAATTCCCCTACATACCAACCTTCAGGTTGCGAACTTTCAAAGATGGGATCGTGCGTTCACATGTCCAATCACATAAGTTAGTTCAGGTGTCTGGCGTACATTGTCACGTGTGTGCATCCTCTACAAGTGGTTGTGCTTTTGTGTACTTTACCGTACAGGACTGTGTAGAGTACAGTAGTACAGTATCTTTATTTCAAGTCCAGGGTGTCTGGTAGCAAGCGTAAAAGCAGCAGTGATGTAGCTGGTACTGCTAAGAAAAGCCAGCTCTTGTACTATACTACTGTACTTTCAAGGTACTTTACTGTAGATTAAAAATGTTTTCTTTATTTTTTGTGTTTGTTTTTTGTATGTTATTTGTGTGAAAAGTATTATAAACCTATTACAGTACAGTACTATATAGCCGATTGGGTTAGTTGTATACCTAGACTAACTTTGTTGGACTTACGAACAAATTGGACTTATGAATGAGCTCTCAGAATGGAACTCATTTTTATGTAGGGGACTTACTGTAATATATAATATAATATAATATAATATAATATAATATAATATAATAAATATAATGAAGTACTTGATGTGAAAGCATTCATATCAAGAACGCCATGCTCGTGGGCGATTAGAGAGGACTGTTTGGAGCTTGAATGTAACCGACAAGTATCCATCACTCAGCCAGCCCTCCTTATTCTCTCATTGGCTTTTAAAATACACGTGTGTATGTTTGTTATTCCATTAGTGCATTGCCTGCTCCCCTGTTTTAGCGTTTATTAGGTGTATTACACTGAATGTTTGTGGTACCTAAATGTTGTATCCCAGCAGTGGTCGAATGCTTCTTACAGGTGCCTTCACTGGCAGATGACGCTGTTTATTTATCTTTATGTAATCTCCGACTTTGCAAATGATGTGGACATGATCTGTTGTCTGGAAATGTGAGAGGAATGAGTGAATATATAAGTGAATGACTCCTTGGTTCCTTTGAAAGCTTTTAGACTGGAAAGCACATGAATCAAATAAATGCTTTGTGGAATTTAGATCATTGGCATAAATGTGTGTAGGTTATAGGCAGAAATGAGAAAGGAAGACTAACATAAATTAGATACTTGCATCGTGAATGAATTTGATAATCTGCAAAGATTCTCTTAGTTATTGAAGATGCTGTGCTTTTATAACTTTCTGTCTACATGTCTTGTTGAGTATTCTAGAGAGATCCTCAGGAATTTGTCAACGAATTTCAGAAACATATTCTCTTGAGTTTTTTTTTTTTAAAGAACTGTGTAATTCATATTCTCTAGAGTAAAGCTGAATTTTAAACATTAATATGTATATATTCTTATAGTGAGAACTTGTTAGACAATTACTGGAATTTAGTGTGCATTTTTTAAAATGCATTAGGAAAATACGCCTGGAGGGCTGCCATTCCTCTGAATGTGAATTGGATCATAGTGTGTGTGAAAGATCAAAGTCATTTCTGCTTACTCAGTGTTGCCTCTCACCCTTGTACTTTTATGTAGCAAATGCGGCAAATGTGTGTCCTGAGTTTTAAAATTTATTTTATTGAAGTCTAGGTGATTTACAATGTTGTGTTGATTTCTGCTGTACAGCACAGTGATTCACTCATATTCTTTTCCATTGTGGTTTATCACAGGATATTGAATATAGTTTCTTGTGCTCTACAGTAGGACCTTGTTGTTTATCTATTCTGTATATAATAGTTTGCATCTGCTAATCCCAAACTCCCAATCCTTCCCTCCCTCCCGTCCCCTCCCCTTTGGCAACCATGAGTTTGATCTCTGTGTCTGTGAGTCTGTTTCTGGTTCATTTGTGTCATATTTTAGATTCCACATATAAGCGATATCATATGATATTTGTCTTTCTCTGTCTGACTTCACTCAGTATGATAACCTCTAGGTCCATCTGTGTTCTGATTTTTCATTTGCTTTGTCTAACTTCCCCAGATAAATTGTGAGCATTTTCACACCAGGGAAAGGGCTCCTTCATTTTGGCCACATCCTGGCCAGAACCTTGGTTTCACTGCACATTTATTCACCTGCTTCCTCAGTGCCAGGCACTGTCCCACCTAAGCTACAGGGGTTCACGCACTCTGTTCTCTGACAGCCTCCTCGGGGAGCTGGTTTCATGATCCCATTTTCTAGATGAGGGAACTGAGGTGGGAAAAGTTGACTCCCTGGGGTCAGAGGTCTGAAGTGAGGACGGGGGTTGGGGAGAGGGGGCTGGATCACACCCAGGCTGTCCAAATGCTTTGACCTTTGCCCCAGGATCGTCATCACCACCTGACCGGGAGCATCTCTCCATCCTTCAGTTGTCCCCCTCCAGCCTGTCCCCCCCAGGACAGCTGCGAGCTCTCTGATGGGCAGCAGCTCCTGAAGCAGCCCCTCCCCATGGGGGCCATTCAAGGATCTGGGCTTCAGCTCTTCCCTATGGGGAGTATTAAATGCGCACCCGCCCGGGATGCTGTCGTGGACACGGAGCAGGGATCCTTGCACCTCGGCAGCACCGCGTCTGACACGGGCCCGGAGCGGGCGGGGTGACAGACCACACACGTCCTGTGCTGACCCTGGCGGGGGTCGGCCTCAGAGAGTCCCGAGAGCGAACTCAGGCGACCTTCGTCCCCGGCTGCTTTCACCGATGTTCTGTCCTCAGCAATCTGTCAGCCTGAGTGGCCTGGAAACCGTTAGCTCGAAATAGCTGGAGGCCGTTGGAGTCGCACACAGGTCTCGGGGGATCTGAAAGCAGGGCGGGAGGATGGGACACAGAACCAGGATGAGGATCTCTGGGTGCTCGCAAGGCTGATCCATGTCCCTGAAGCGTGGCTACGCTACCTTTGGCCTCTTCTTCACCAGGTAGATTCACTGGAAAAGTGCTTTACCCATAAACGTGTTAGTCAGTCTCACTTACGGAAAACTTCCTTAAATGTAACCATTTCCCCAGCAATGCTTTGTAAATGAAGGTGCTTGTAAGGCTCTGAGCATGCCTTTTTTCATCCATTCATTCATTCATTTGACTAATATTTATTAGTTCTAGGTACTTGGGGTACATACAGCAGTGAAGAAAACCAACGAAAAATTGCTAACATCTTGATATATTTGTGTATTTGCTTTCATTCAATAGATCTTTACTGAGATGTGGGGCATCTGGGGTATACAGTAGAATAAACACTCATGGTTTTGGGAAGCCCCATGCATTCTTGGAGGTCACTGTTTGAGGTTGTGTATGATACGAATGTAACCTCGGGTGTGGTCACTCAGACCCCAGCAGACCTACCGCCCACAGCTCTGCAATGTCAGGCCGAGGGGCCCCTGTAGTCACAGGGCCTGCAGGGTTAAGTACAGTTGGCAGAATTGTTTTCTGTGATAAACAAATGCCTGGCTTCATCCCGTAAGCAGCCCCTACTCCCTTCCATCCTTCCCAGCCATGCAGTCATCCCTTGAAGCTGGGATGTTCTCAGGGTCCGTCTCCAGCCCAGCTCTGCCTTCTTAACTCAGTACTTTGCTTTCACACTTTCACCCTCCCTCTTGTACGGACTAGGTGTTGATTCCAGAATTTGCTGATTTTTTTAAAAGATAAATCAGTCTCTGTGTCAATGAATTACAGCAAACTGCATAAGTGAGTTATAATTACTTCCTGAATATTCTATTTTTGAGAACACAAAATTTTCCAACAATTTGGAATAGTTACTTTCTTTTTCTGCCTTCCTGTGAAAATGGACTTAGAGTTTAACCATCTTAGGGCTATACAATAGTAACCTTATTTTTAAAATTCAACTCTCAGGTTTGGTGATGGTTATACAGTCAATGTTTGGCTCTGCAACGAAGCAAATCAACACAACGCTGTTTCCGACTGCTTGAAGCTCTCTTTTCCAGGAATCCAGTTTAAGGTAGTGCTAATATTGTACATTACTTCTTTGTTTTGAGGTAAAAACATCTTATAAGTGTACTTGTCTTTTCCCCTGTTTTAATTATTTGCTGTCAAAAGATATCGCTTATTGTTCTGGCCTCATTGCAAAGTGCAGGCCACACCTCTCCCCCCAAAATAGCAGGGGTGGTGGATCTCACCTGACCTCGCTGAAGGATGACAAGCCTGCTTTTCCCCTTATTGTGTCACCCAGAGCAGATAGTGGTTACTCATCCCCCCTTTTCTGTGGGAACAACTTCATCACACAGTTTGTTTTGTTGAGGATGGAAGATACAAAAGTTTATTTCTCCCATGTATTTGCTGTGGGGTTTGTAGTCAGGTATTTCAACATTAATTCACAGGAAGGGCCCTGGGCTTGAGATCACAACCCTCTACACACGATGCAAAGTGTGGTCCCTGAGCCAGCAGATCTTCATCACCTGGGAGCAGGTGAGAGCTGCAGCATCTCAGTCCCCAGCATACTGACCCCAAATCTGCACTTTACCAAGGGGACCAGGCGATCCTTGTACACACAAATGTCTGAGAAGCGCCATCTGCAGTTCTCTTGGATGACGCCATAATTCCAGTTTGTCGTAACTTCTAATAGATTGTAGTCCGTAAAGGAGCTACGCATTGCGTGTCTATTTCATCCACGACCATTCGGTAAAATCCTACCTGGCGAGAAGCATGCTGTCCAAGTCACAGTGGTTCAAGGACCACTCTAAACTACCCCATGAACCCGTTGTTGGGATCTCCATGTGCACCCGTGGAAATGAGGCTCAGAACAGTTAAACATCTCACCAAGAGTTGGTCAGCTAACAGTGGGAATGGCCGGGTGCTCCGGTGTGAGGTTCAGGTGTCTCTGTGCATCTCTGTGATGTCACATATACCTCCTTCTTCTCAGCTGTCGATAGGTGTCTTCTTTCCCCTACAGAGGGCTTCTCAGGCTTGTGGCAAGGCGAATGGGGGCAGAAAGGGGCAGAACGGCCACCCCACCCAGGGGGACACCTCTTATCAAATATGCCTTGTGGTGAATCGTAGCCCATGACCATTCTTTGAAGACTCACAAAACTGACCCCCACACCTAGTTAGTATTTAAAGGTGTGGTTTGCAAAAAGATAATTTATTTGGCAATTAAATATAGTGTGATCAATTTTGCTTAAGATTCCTAATCCTGTGATCCAATTTTTTTTTTTTTTTTTTTTTTTTTGCTTTTAGGGGCAGCACCTTAATTTATTGGAATGCCATGTGCCAAAAACATGGGCGTGCTTAGCCTGTTCAGAGTTCTGGAGGACAATAAAAACTTCCTGAGTATCAAATATTACTCCATCAAGCACACCCCTCTGGAGCAGGTCTGGTATCTCAAAGGGGTCACCACGTTGTTTTTCTTGAAGCCTACTCCAAGAGGCCTACTCTTGAGGCCTACTTTTCTTTAGGCCTACTCTAAAAATGAGCCAGATTATACTTCTTGAGATCACCATTTCTTTTATTAATCACCATTTGAGTTTGCAAAATTCTGATAAAAATGGTGAGTGTGAGGGGCCCCATTTATGTGTGCTCTCCACTCAAGGTAAATATTCGACATTCAGGGCTTCCATCTGCTCATAATTTCATTGGTCGCTCAGTAAGCAGATCAGGCCCCGTCAGCCTTCCCATCCCCTCTTACCCACCGTCCCCCGCCAATAATTAAAGGGGCTCCACTGTAAGTGAGCTGACTTTGGGAAGAAAAGTGCTTGGTTCCCTGCATCCCAGAAGGTGAAATTAGATCACAGGTCAATCTAAAGCCGTGCTTAAGGCATCGAGAATTTCCTGACTATTTGTTAATTTTCCAGAAATGTTTATCATTCCTGGAGTTGGGTCCTCAGAAGACCTACTGTTGCGGTCCGGGAGCCACACGTCTGGAGTCGAGTTCCCCGGTAAATGCAACCCGTGTCCCAACCAAGGACACCCGAGAATCACCAACACCAAGTAGAAAGATTAGCAAAGGATTTATACAAGTACAAGTATAGAAGCTTACACAAACTGTCTGGACAGAGTCCCACTCGGAGAGAAGTGAGTGAGACCCCGACTAACAGTCGGGCGAGGCTTTTATACCCTTCACAGGGCGGGAAGTCCCCAAGGAGGGAGGGAGCTGTTTAATTTCGAATCAGCCAATCAGGAACCCGGTTCTTCCCGCCCCAAGCAAGCAAGCAAGCAAAGCAACTTTCTTACAGAAGCCAAAATGTGCTGTTAGCCCTGAAGCTGTTCTTCCGTTTCTTTCATCACACTACCTGTTGAGGGTGATTTAGGAAGGGGTGCTATGAATGAATGGTTATGAGTCTTAGGAAAAGTTGGGCAGGGCTTGGAGAAGATGTTCCCTGTAATAGTTGAGAACAAAGGGTTGAGTGTTCCTCCAAGTTAATTATTTTCATCATTTCTTTCAGATATTCAGAAGGTGGTGCAATTTGTTACTGAGCAGCAACAAACTGCACCACCTTCTGATCCGTCCACTGGTCGTGAGCACCCACAGAACCTGCCTGTCTAAGCGCTGAAGAAGACGCTGTTCAGAGAAATAAAACCTCCTCTTTCGTTATACTTAAGATTCAAAGATCAAAGGAGCGAGTGGGCCACAGAGGAGCTGGAAGACACACGGCAGGCAGTCCAGTCTCATTCTCTCCTTCATTTTCTGTTTTGAAACTCTTTGTTAATTACACATTGAAAGGTCATTCTTTTCTGCAGACTTTTGGGCAGTTCCTCTGATTCAGTTACTGTCTTTGCCAAGGCGAGATGGGACAGCTTCCTGGGACACGGGAAGGAATTGACATTCCTTCTGGAGCTGGAAAGGCTGTCAGAGTTTGTCCAGGTCAAACATTCCATTTTAATTTTAAGGAAACTGAGGCCCCCAAGGCTAAAGACTTTCCTAACTTATTTGTATAGGGAATGGTACCCAGAATTGTTTTCTATTTTTGTTGTCCTTTTACTAGATTATGCTTACATGTGTCTAAATAACAATTCAGTGATTTAAATGTACCGTTTCTCTAACCCTGGATGACATTATATGTTATGAGATGAAAGCATACCATTTTTTCTTACAAAAGATGCTTTTAAAAAAAATAGGGATTAAAGAGCTTTTCAGTCAACCCTTTAGAAAAATTAAATAATTTGAACTGGGTACTCTGTATCATTTACCAAAAGTGTGACCAGAATTTCACAGATTATAAATTTAGGGGAATATAGAAAGAAATACAATATAGATGTATCTTCTTTTTATTAATTTGGATTAATAATTACTGTTCTTAAAGTCATTCTAAGTCAGTGGTTTTCAAAGTGTGTTGGTCCCCATAATAGCTGCATTTGCATCTCTTGGGAGCTTGGCAGAAATGAAGGTTCTCAGGCCCAACCCCAAAATCTAAAACCCTAGGGTAGGAGCCCTGCAGTCTCAGTTTAAACAAGTCTCCCTGGTTTCTGTAGCACATTCCAGTTTGAATACCAATGGTCTAAGGAAATATCTAGGTACCTTTTAATTATACAAGCAAAACTAGCACCATATGTAGTAAACATTAATTTTCAAACAATTTTTATATTTCTAAAAACTGTCATTCTCAGAATTATTGTCCTCAGAGTATTTTCAAATATAAAGTGCTCAGATGTGGCTCTAAAAGGCTTTGTAAACCCCACCGTTTGCATTTTATAGTTAGTAAAACACATCAAATCACCGTGTCTGCTCCTCAAAATGGTTTCCAGTCAAACACTTCAGAGTTGAAATATTTCTCAACCTTCTTTGAGTAACATTCTTCTAAAACCCCAATGGAGGACTGCACTGATTTTATTTTACAATTTAACCTTATCCAATTAAGTTTTTGAGTGACAGTAGCTTGTGATCAAAGCAAAACACTTTCTTGTGATATTTCTTTGCCGAAGCAAGATTTCATTAAAATATATCTTTCCTGAACATAATTCTATACTAGAGATATTTTTAAATGTTAAGGATTAAGCCAATTATGGATCATTTTGATTGAATGATTTTGATTCACATATATCACATGAATTATGCTTTCTAAAAGAAGTTACAGTTTAGGGTTTTATGATTTTTCTCCCAATTCTACCATTGTCTCATTGTCAAAATGAAAGATGTAATCTTTTGTTGTTGTTGTTGAATCAATAGATAAAATTTGTGAAACACAAACATGCTTACACTGCCGTGAATAAATGAAGTGTGTGCTTTAATGTAATTGTGTTTCTGCCAGTATATTTCCTTGCATCTTTAGGGATCTAATTTAATTTTGGTAAGGAGGAAATGAAACTACTAGGATCTTTTAAAGCTTGAAAGGTTAAAATTTAATTGTGTTTTACTCTGCTATGTTCTGCTCTTAGGGATTCTTTTCTAGGCTTTGAATTGCTGTACTCATGAAGTTCATGCTTCAATGTATGCCTTTGAACAATAAACAGGAAGAAAAAGAGAAACCCAACGTGCTAAAATGCCATATCCCAGAATACGGGACACAAAAGGTCAAATTTTATGTTAATGTTGAAAATGTCATTGCCTTTATAAGTCATGCAGATATGTTATGCCTTTGGAGTTCAACATTTGTCTTAAGACCTTTGGGCTTAAGGTCACCCAGCTGAGACTTTTAAACAAACTACCGTCTTTTGAAAGCATGCTGAGTGGAGTGCTTTGTAAGGCAGAGACAACGTTGATGATTCCACTTCCACTGATCTGGCTTTTATTATATAGTTTATCTTTACCCAGATGTTTAAACAGATGACGTAGTAAAGCCCTCATGCAAAGTCAAGAGTGTAAAATTCAAACAAGAAGTATATTTTTGGAATGGTAAAGAGTAAGGCCTTAAACTTAATACTTAGCTTCACTTAGTGGATATTGAATTAAAAAAACGGCTCAACATTATCCCTCCAAAACATCTTACAAAATACTTGCACCACACACACCCTCCCTTCAATATTTAGTGTTTGTAAGTAGGACGTGCATACTTCAGCTTAATCACAGATTCTTTTACCCAAATGGGGGATATAGACATTTTAAATTTCCAAACGGGTGTGACCGTGTTCTCTCCTTTGGCTATTGCTTGGGTGTTGCATTACCCAGCTCAGTGTTGTTTTGGGGCTCGTATGTTTACAGTATGTTTCAACTCAGCTTCACACCTTTGAATAGTCCAAGCCCTTTCAGTCACACATGTGTGCGTGCACACGATCATTCTTTCAATTAATATTATCGAGCCCATTCTGTGTACATAAATGGATGGTGGGTGCAATAAACATGAGGTGAGGGATTCACAGTGCAAAGCCCCAGCCTCTGTCCTTGAGAAGCAGGCAGTCTGGTGGGGATGGCAGGTGAGGTCTGTGAGCCCTGAGCACACCCTGCTCTCGAACCAAGGGTGTGGGTACTGACCTCGTGGAGTCCCTGCCATCTGGATGGGCCCGCACAAATGGGGAACAGGAAGAAGGATATTGGAAGGTAAGAGAATTTCAGAGCAAATCAACACTACTCAGGGAGCAGTGGCTATTTGCCTATGACTCTGGAGGGAGCCGATGTAATGGCTCCATAGCACGGAGAACGCAGCTCTGCCACCTTTAGAATTTCCCTTATGTTCCAACGTAGCCGCTGGAGCTCTAGCTATCGCAATATAGTCAATGCAGACAAGAAAAAATACATTGGATCAGGGGGAAAATCACACCATTTAAAGAGGTCTCCTGGTTTATATGACATTGGCCAGAAATAGTCACGTGGCCATATCTTAGCTGCAACTGTTTGGGCAGTACAGTTTTAGCTGTGGACCTTAAATGAAATGTGGCTTCTGATTCTATGCAAGAAGAAAAAAACAGATATGGGATAGGCAGCCAGCAGTTTCTACTACAGGAGCACGCAACAAGTTTTGTTGTCGTTTCATGTGAGAACAGAATGAAATCAATTTTGGCCATGTTGAGTAAACTAGGTAATGTCAAATTATGTGGCTACTTTTGGGCAACCCAGCTTCTAAGAGTATTACTATTTTCAGGATTAGAGTAGTGTATTAACATCTGTAGATCAGATGCCATTTGTATTTATAAGCATTATCAAATTGAAACAATAGATAAAAGAATTTTATGGATATTTCAATTTGGGCTAAATAAATGACACCGTCATTTTCTCACTTTGAGAATTCCTATTGAGAGCTTTAATGGATAAATTTTTCTTGCTGGAAAGGGTTTCAAGTTGCTGAAAGAAGTCAGCAGCATTTTTCTTAATTATTTGCTATTCCTTGTCATTGCATGGGAGACATTTCACTTTTTTTTTTTTTTTTTTTTTTTTTTT